CACACACACACACACACACACACACACACACACACACACACACACACACACACACACACATTTGGAATCCCAACTAAGAAATGCACTGAGCGTTGTTCACCATGTCTACCAATCATATTATCGGACATTTTCACATCGATAAATACTGTTGCTTATTAACTAGTAAGTTAGACATGTGCGCAAAATTTTGACGAAAAGTATAATTTTCTTTTAAAGAAGGCCCAGTGTAGCTTTTACGGAATATGAGATCAAAGACAAGAAGTAAGTTCCACAATTGAATCTTCATCTTTGGGATAACATTGTGCATACATTTAAACCTCTGTCTAATATTTGCCCGTAGAAGTTCAGTGAAATCTTCGCTTCTGCTACTCTTTGCAATTTTGGAAGGTGTGGCCTCCTTTGCTCTACCCATTATCGACGCTTTTGGTCCTTTAAAGTTCATCGAACACCAGTTCTATTTTGAGGTAGACACTCAAAACCTCTCCTTATATTGCACATTTTAATGAAGATTTCCTTAGGTCCATAAATTTATTACTATGCTCAAATAGCAGACAACAAAATAGCCAATGTTTTACCAGGTATAGGGCTAATAGAACGTGACGTCATAAGTGTTCATAGACCACTAGCTATACTGCAAGTGCTTATCAAAAGTTCTTCGATCAAATTAATCACAAAAGGGCCAATGAATAGAAGTAGAGCTGGATAACTACCTAGTTTAATTGAAAGAATTGACAAGGCGTACGACTACGGAAGAGTGAAGTTATCCTGGAGCCATCACGGGGTTTGGTAGGTCGCCGTTGTCAGCTCCTACTGCAAGATCATCTGGATCACTGGTAGCACAACCATGTGCATCGATCCTATGATATCTAGTCAGTGCACCAGCCTAGTTTATTTCGTTAATATTTCATTCATCACACCTTCAGATAGAAAATGCCAAATTTACTGGTGTCAGTAAATTGAAGTAACTCCAATTGAACATATGATCAACACTACTTCAAATAATTGTTAATGTCGTTGTTGTGACGGTGTAGCATATTCGAATTAAATAGAAAGAAAGCGTTTACTTTTAGGTTTTGAATACAACTAGTTTCTTCTTTTTGGAAAAATGACAAGGTCCTATGACAGGTAATCTGTGTGGGTTTGCTTACGTCATATATTTAATTATTTGAAGTTCACGTCGATAAATATACAGTAAAAAATCTTAATATTAAAGTAATCGGTTTGTCTTGATGCACGCTAATGACACATTAATTGGTCGACTTTGGAGAGCTTCTGAAAGCCAATTATTTCCAGAAATGAGTGACTCTTCATTCTACCGAAATGATTATAATCATTATTGTATTAATTAATGCAATTTTAAAGGCAATATTGGAGATGCAGTTATTTAATGGTCTTAATGATGTCTTGTCGTATTCAACAATGGCATCGCCAAGAAATAAATTACGATTTTAGTGCTTCTTTACAAAAACCTGATTTGAAGGCTTATTTAATCGCGCCATAAATTGTACACATGCACAGTTCGTTCAGTCTATCGCCCAGCCCACTGATATTTCAAGGTTACCATCTCAAATTGGCTTTGAAATTTCCATTTAGACGCTTTGCTAGCTTGGAATGTGGAATCAAATGCCAGTTTGCTGTCGTAAAGGCTACAGGGTCATTCACCCATTCGCTTGGTCAAATGGGTAGAATGGGATTTGAAATTATTACTTTCATTAAAGGTGTTCATCAAAGAAAACCGTATTACACTATCACTCTTTATTTAAATAAAATTTTTAAACTGTATAAGAGCGATTTTTGTCAATCCGTATAGCAAAATAGGCTAATATGGGGTTTGTGGAGGGTAATAGATCTTTTTAAAAATGTGTATTTTGTCGATTTCCCAATTGAAAGCCTTCTTGTGCTCTTACGGTGAGCGGAGAAGGTACCTTACAGTTGATTAACTATTCAATCGGCCATTCTATCATTGATCGTCACCTTATTGAGCTAGATGGTACCACTGAGTGGAAATCTCGCCCGTTGCATAGATATTAATATGGCCTATTTTTTGCATCCATGCTCTAGGTCTTTCAAATCGTTCAATTTTTAAGCTCCATCGCAGCAATAGTCTACTTGCAAGCTTTGATGATCTACTATAGAAGGAAGATGGAGAAACGCACGTCACTTTGGAAGGCGGTAATGGAAGGAGGCAAAGATACCGAGGAATTGAGGGAAGAGGATGAAAATGAAGAAAGTGGTGACAGCTCTCCCAGTTCACCAGGTGAAAATGCGGAAAATAGTCCGAGTCATTCATTAACTTCGAGTAATGGTGAGAACTTTTGATGTTTCTTCGACAATCCAATAATCACATTACCTTTCTAAATAATTATTTTCTGTTTAAAATAGAGAGGAATTTTTTCCTATTTAGATAATTTTTTAAATAGTATCCAAAGTGCAATTTTAGGAAAAATTTGAGTTTTTTACATCTTGTTACTCACCAAGGAATCTTTTGAAGAGAATCTCAACGAGCATTGAATCAGGTGACTCCTTCCATTGTGACACTAACATTTGGTATTTCGGCCACCCATGGTGTAAATGAAAATAGGCACTGAAATTTTTAAGTGAAATATTTCGACAGCACACCAGTGATTCCGTCTAAAGTGTTACAGTTGGCATTTGTATACACTTTGCATGTTCAAACTTGCCTGTTCACGAACGAATTCTGTCAATGTGAAAATAAACGGTCTTGGACACGAGGTCTTCGAAAATTGTCATGATTATGGCGTAGTGGGAGGTACAATTTTAGATTTACTCTATGCCTGAGGTTTCAAGAGAAAATTCTCAAGCGGATTAATAGGTTGGGGGGGGGGTGTAGGGGTATTTTAGGACTTAATTTTTTTTCTAATTTTCATTGAATGATCAAATTAATTGAATTCATTTAGGCTTATGGATGTTGCCTCAAATCGCCTTTTCTTGATATTAAATAGAGTCAAATGCAGGTAACTCCACTTTTATCCCAGACGCTACCATAAATGGTGAGGCTGATCAGAGTAGTTCAAAGCATACCTCTCCAAGAGAATCAGTAGTCGAGCAACCTTCCGGATCTGTAGTTTCTCCCATTCTCCTAAACACACCGGTGAGTTGCCTCAAATGGTTTTGATTTATGTCACTTTATATTACAATCATGCCAAGCTGGGAGCATAAATTGTGCTGGCTACTTATTAATCAACTGATGTCACAGCTGTGATTGTCACCATCACCCAATTTGCAGATGTATGTCCTCTTTACCTGTCAGAACTAGAAAGCTAATCGTAGTTTATGTTAAGCTTGTGGTGTTTATTTCCGAATCTATATTTCCAATTTTCAATGAAGCACATCATTTCTCACCGAACCTTATATGTCATTTTGATGCATTTTTTACTGTATTATACTTAACTGTATTCGATATTCCCTTAAGGAGAATAATGTAAACGAGAATCACCAAGGGAAGGTGCAAAAACGCGGAAATGTGACCTTTAAGGCCCCTGATCCGCACCGGCGCTCAACTTATATTGGCCGAATGTTCGGAGATACAGATGGATCAATCGATAATTTGAGGCCTCCATTTACTCGTGATCCCGAAGGAATTAATCTCTACTTGAGATTGGGCACTGTCTGTAAGTTGTTTACTGATTTCGGTCTAACTGAAAGTTTAATTTAGTGCTAAGGTGCTGGAAATACCAATATTAAAAATGTCCATTGAATTGGAAGGTTGCAAAATCTGGAGAAAAGTGGTAAATTTATCATTAAAATAGATCTACGGGTAGCGGAAAACGTTTGTATCAGTTGATGTTTCGTGTTCACTACATAATTCATATGTAAATCGCATTGTGTATTTGATTGCATGAACACGAGTAACTATCCTTGTCACCAGTATATATTTCATAGACTGGTTCCATTTCGCTTAGCATGGGATTATATGTAGACTTTCGAAATGGACGGCAAAATCACCCTCCACCCCCCCCCCCCCCCCCCCCCGGGAGTGTTGTAACTTCGATTGCAATGGAAGAATTTTTTAGCGAACGGAATCCAGTCAAGTTGAGGGTGAATGACTTTTCATTTTTATGGTAATAAACCCACTTTTCTTAATTTATTCAAATAGTCATTTGGAAGTAAGCGATGTGTGATTCTCCGTCATCGCTGTTTACTATCCCCATTGCCTGGCTAATTGGCATTTTTCCCAAACTTAAGCAACGAAGAATTAGTGCCGTGCATATTCTCGTTATGCCTTGTTGAAGTTGGGACTGCTATTCACTTGGATTATAAAACTATCAGCCTACTAACTGTAGCTTCTATTGCCACGCATCCTTTTGATTTGATTGGCTGTTGAGGGTTCCTTACTAAATAATCGATTAGCGGCCACACAAGTGAGCGTGGGACACACGTACCAACTGTCGCATCCAGACCCACAATATCTGACCCCATAGTAAACACTCTCTATGGCAGGTTGATTTAGATATGATTGAATCAGTCTCTTCATCCACTTTACTCAATTTTTTTCTATACGGTAATAATTGTCGCAAAGTATTTATACGTTTTGAATGAGGTCTTTAGGTCATTGCGCGTATTGAATCGTGACAACTATCATGACAATCAATTCCATGATTACTTAGTGAATTGATTTCGTTTGTACTCAAAATTAAACTAGAGCTACTTTTTGTAATCAATCAAGACGTTCATTACGATAACACCTTGACGTCAATGGGAAATGGTTAGAAGACGTGTGACTCAATTCCATTTTATCTACAACGTCCAGCATGCTTGGTAACCTTTCTAAGCGTCATAGGTGGTTCACAAATTATACACACAACTAAATTTTTTTAATTACCAGTGAGCCTTCTTTACCCACGTTATAACTACGTTTTTACATGTTTAAATGTGCAAACGATTAGTTGTTTATGCAGAAAGAGTTGTGCAACTGGTTAGATCTAATTTTACTTTCCGTCTATAATTTAAGTATTTGGCTTTGGAGTAATGATAATGGACGTTTTTCGTATCGCCGATAAATTTCGAGCAATTAACAGTGACAGCAACTGCCACAGTATCCTATGGATTCCAATGAATTCCATCCACGCCATCTACATCTTCATGCAAACGTACTTCCTCTTCAAATATCATCGGGTAAGTACATACTACTCAAATTCTCTCCTCTTAGCATTCTTAACTACTGTTCATCTTATTCCTCCATTCAGATCACATTCAATGTGCAAAAATTCTTCATTCGATTCATAATGTGTCATATGGCTGTATCCAACCTGGGTCAGTGGATGAGCACTGTTGTCGAGGAGGTAATTACCTCAGAGGAGGAACTAGAATATAAAGTGCTTCTAAACGCTACCTCCGAACCTGAAAGCCATGGGCTCCACACTCCACTCCACAATGACACTTCGCGTAAGAGAACCATGTTTGATTTAATTTAACCATTTCACTCTAATGCGAAAGAATATTTATTTGCGTTTTAAAACATAAGCCATACATCTATATTAGTATGTATGCCCATGTTGAACAAGACAAAATTTTATAAATGAGAAAACACTTCGTGTTTCACAGTTCACCCTTCATGAGTTAACCCATTGTTTAATATGTGAATTCACGGTCATGGAAGTGTATTAAAAAGGTGATTTACATTCTTGATTCTATTAAATTGTCATTTCTTAAGAAAACCACTTTAATAGGGGGGGGGGATAGAGGTAACTAGCGCTGACAAGATAAAAGTAGTAAAATGCATTTATTGGCTGTTCCCACTGTACTTACACATTATTTTCATCTTTGCTGACGAAATTAGTGGATGAAGATCGTTAACTTGGTCGTGGGGGGGGGGGGGGGGGGGGGGGGGGGGGGANGGGGGGGAGGAATGGAACTTCAAGATGTTGTACCTGATTGCTGGTTGGCTCTTCTCGAGCCGAGTATCATTTGGGACCTGAGATACTTGCGATATTATCAAATTTTTGTTCCACGTGTGCTAGTATTTTGTTGTTCTAAATTTGTGAAGACCAAGAAAGTGAAACAAGTTCAATTATCTTTGTTAGAAACGGATTAGAAAGTAAGTAAATCAGACCTCAAAACCAATAAATTAGGTTTGCCTGCCATTAGTGCAAAAGGTAGAGATGACGAAACAGCGGATAACTCAGTTAGCAAATAAGGGTATCTATAAGTTGTGCCAATTTCTCGTGGGGTCCAAACTGGCTCTCCGTTGGAGACGATAGTATGCCTCCTCTTTCGGAGGAATGATTGGGAAATGAAAGATACAGTATTACGTCAGTAATTATGTAAAGTTTAGGTAAAACCAGTAAAGTAGAACAAACTAGTGTTCAATAATAATCATTATAAATTATTTTATTCAATTAAACCGATAGAGGTGAGCGCATTTTCTCAAATTTCTACTCAAATTACTTTATTAGCAACGAATTTATACCTTTTTTCATAGATCATTGTCAATCACCAGCGGTATTATTTGTGCACTATTTGATACCCTGTGGAATTGAGTACAGTTTGATAGCTGGAGCAATCTTCTATAAGATGTTTCAACGCATTGGCCACGTGGGAGAGAGGCGACGCCACTTTAGTAAGGATCACCATGAATTAACGACAAAAGAGAAGTCATATCTGCATTTTCAACGAGTTGTTGGACTTACGTAAGTTTGAAGCAAATTTTTGTTGCAGCAATCTGAGGTGTTTGATTTACATACCATCTTCATATCAAATTTGCACAGTATTACGTCAGTAATTAAGTAAAATTTTTGATTAATCATTAAATTTAAACAAACGAATGATCAATATATATATATATATATATATATATATATACTAAATTCATATCGAATTTGGACATATGGTACTTATGCATATATTAATTATTGCAAGTTGCAACCGAGGAATATACGACCAATCAAATGATAGGCAGTTTGCATTGTGATATTGTGCCGAATAAGTAGGATTTTTATATCTCTCCTGGGGCATTCACACTATAAAGATGCTTACAATAAAGTCAGGAAGAACAATTCAAACCCCCCCCCCCCCCCCCCCACCACCAAAGCCAATTAGCAGCAAGCCTTAATTTTTTCAAAATTACAAGTTGGAAAGAAGATTCAAGACATAGGCTCTGCTGACACCAGTGCTTACTGGAGTTTGCTATCTAGATATTGATACGGTATACGACTCAGTTTAGCCAATGAATATATCGGGTAATTGGAAGGGCAAATATTTTGGTGTTTGCAGATTCATGGACTTGAAAGGTGGGATTGTGATCAAGACTACGACAAATGCCCTCGCCAACATGTATAGTTTCAATAGAGACCGAACAAAAATTGAAAAAAACACTTCCATTCAATATGGTCAATGATTACAATATCTTTAAATTACTATTTTTTATTAAATTAATCGGGACTCGTGTTAGTGCAGCTATATAGCAATTTCAATATTTTCCAATAGTATATAATATCAGCATTGATCACAAAATAACCATGGAAAGAAAGTATCGTCCATATATCGCATTGAACATCGTGAACCTTAGCAAATTAGAAACTCTCATGCTGTCAATCAAGACTAATTAGTCACATGACATTTTCATTTAACTCCAATAACTCTCAATATTCATGGTGAATGTTCATTCGTTCGATTAGCACTAATTGTTCTTGATAATCGAGCAGATAGGTAGAATGTACCATTAGAGAAAATATATTCTACCCAAGCAAAGCGTTATCAACACTTCCATTTAACTAATAACTAAATAATTATACTGACACCTTGAAATACAAACAAACTAACAACTTTTTATCCTTTCACGCGTTCTTTTAGTTCCGACGACCCAACAGAATGTCATCGGGCTCACAAAGGTCTATTCCTAGGACTTCTGCTCTTTCTTACAACTCTTGTTGCAATGGCGCTCTTCTACGTCTTTCGACATAACAAAAAGCATGAAACGGCAGTATACCTCTACCACATTAATAACATAATTCTCATAACCGTAGGCATCATTGGTGTAATTCTAGCTCTAATTCGAATCAAGGATCTCGCTCTGCGAGAACTCTCCGAAGAGGACGCTTTCGATGATAACCTTCTTCTTATTGGACTCCTGGCCACCCTATTCTATTGTGTGTTTAGCCTCGTGCCAGCAATCTCCTCGGTGCATCAAGGTGGGGGGTTTTTCGTAGCCAAGGCGATTTTGGAAATGACTCAAGCACTGCTACAGGTAACGCTACCTCACCTTTATATTCATAAACAGTTACTTAAATAGAGTGAGTAAGTTGAAGTGATGGACATATGGCCTTGACGCATTGTTTTAACGTGGTAGTATGCGAGGTCACGAGTTTCTTTTTTAAATCGCTGAGCATCGAAAGGGAGGGGTGAAGAAAACGTAGTGAACATTTCAGGAAATTAAAGATATGAATAGGAGTTTTGCCAATTTATACACAAACACTTTCCCAAATGATTCAATCTATTTATAATTATGGAAATAGAATGCTTGGAACTAACTGGTTCCAAAAGCAGAAGTTTTGTTTGACAGGGAGTGGTATCGAGACTGCATTTCTTGTGAACATTACTCAATGCGGTACCGCCATTCATATGGCAAATCACTTTAATTGATAATAGTAATCAATATTAATTGGAAGTACACAAATAAATACCATTGAAAAAGCCTCTAAAAGTAAATAATAAATACATTTATAAAAAATATATATATCTGCTTGACGTGAGCTGCATTTTGTGACACTGAGTCATAACGTTGTTGCAACACACCGAAAAAACTAATAATTATGCGAGATAATTATCTTCATTTTGTCAAGTTAATAAATAAAAGGACATTTGAAAATACGAAGAGTCGACACATATTTCTGTCTAAAGTGTTCGTTTATTCGCAGGCCTTATGATAGGTATCAATAGTCCTCTCGTTTTCTTCGGGCTTCACAGAGAGGAGGAGCATCAATGTCACTAAAATTTGAGCTGAAGGGGAACAGAAAAGTGATTTACAGATTTAAAAGGGATACGGACACAAATGTAGAGAAATAGGTAAGGTAAGGTGAGTACTGTGGAAGTGGTCGAATATCCTAGTTAATAGACTTTGTTGACGTATGAATATACGTTGCTCAGGGTGTACCACATAGTTCAGAGAGATTAATCCGTTCTTGCCTTTGGAAATGTTGAATTAAATATAATTAATATCTGTGAAACCACTAATTCGTCGATCTTGGTTTACTTTTCTGCTGACATTCACATACAGCTCACAGCGTTGCATTTCATCAGTCACGTGTGAAATCTTTCTACTGAAGTGTTCATACTTTGACTATCGATGCTATAATCATGATTAACTTGTTAAAGCAGAAATATTTTTGGTAATTATTTTGTTTAACTCTAACTTTCTAACACCTGATTTATTTTTTAAAAAATGCAACCAACCACAGTCACGCGTGTCCCACAGCAGACTGATGCCGACGTGACGAGGTTTTGTGGAAACGGGGGAAGGCTATAGACGCTTTAAAGGCTGAGCCATGAGTTTGTGTATGCTCTCTTTAGATTTCACACCAGAAATTGGTGGCTCGAGAGAATCTATGTCTGCGTGGAGATATTTATCTTTAACTAAATATCATTAGATTAAAAAAGCGATCCTTTTCATTTTTTCTAGGTATTCCTCATTCTGGAGGCCTCGCGAAGAAGTACCGCCACAGTAGAACAGTCATTGACTAAGCCGGGGAGATCAATGATTACTTTTCTTCTCATTATTAACCTCTCCATGTGGGTGATCTACACGTTTGCCTTGAAACCGGCGGAAAATTCCGACATCTTTAAGGCCTATTATTCTGGTCTTGCGTGGAAGATTATCTCTAACCTCTCACTTCCTCTTATCATCTTCTTTCGTTTTCATTCTACCGTCTGCTTTGCCGATATTTGGACCAATGCCTATCGGATGCACGAGGCTGCCAATGTATAGGTTAATGCCATTTCTCCTATTTTTTGCCCAATGGGATTGTGGTTCTTTATGTCAAAACGGATTTCGTTGATTTTAATTGCATTGCCAACAGAATCTATTGAAATGTCTTTTTCAAGTGAATATTTATACTGTGATAGATTATTTGTATTTTTAAGTATTTATTTATCAAATATTTTCGACTTCTAGAATAAAAAAACATTATATCATTTTGTAGGTGGCTTTAAAAAGCTAGAAATTAAAATGAATATAAATTGGATTGTATGTTTCAAATTAATGTTCATTCGAATCGGAATTATTAGCAAATATTGTGTTTTTTACGAATTAAATATTATCCATTTCAAGACAAACAGAATGAAATTGCAAGATTTTGTAGATAGCTAAGATCATATTGGTAAGTAAGGGATGTGGGATAGACTTACCCCCTCGTGGTGAACCCTGGCCAATGTATAACCATACGGCAAAAAAGTCTATTAACCGGCAGTTGACTTCTCACTTCAAACAACTATCACCCCCACTGAATGTCATATTCGACCCCTATCACAGTACTCATCTTACCTTTTCTCTGCCATTGTATCTGTCTGTCTCTTTTACGTCTGTGAATCACTCTTCTATTCCCCCTTCCGAATTCTTCTCTGCTATTCCTCCTCCTGAATTCTTCTCACTTTGATGTTCCTCCATCTGTGAATCACTCTTCTATTCCCCCTTCCGAATTCTTCTCACTTTGATGTTCCTCCCCACTGCGAAGCCCGAAGTCAACTAAAGGGCTAATGATAACTACCAAAACGCCTGCCATTTGAGATAAATAAATAAATATTGGTAAGTAGGGGTGTGCGATAGACTTACCTCCACGTGGTGCACCCTGGGCAACGTATACTCATGCGGCAAAAAAGTATGCGTATACGTTGCCCAGGGTGCACCACGGGGAGGTAAGTCTATCGCACACCCCACCCCTATCGTTACTCATCTTACCCTTTCTGAGCCTTTGTGTCTGTTTCTTTACATCTTTGAAACACCCTTCTATTCCCCCTCCTGAATTCTTCTCACTTTGATGTTCCTCCTCCCCTCTGTGAAGCCCGAAGTCAACCAAAGGGCTAATGATAACTATCAAAACGCCTGCCATTTGTTATGAATGAATGATGAATATTGGTAAGTAATGTGAAAGAAGCTGAAATCTGGGAGTGGGGTGGGATGTGAGAGGGGGTGAAGGGAGGGCGTTAAGAAATTCGAGAATTCAACGCAAAATTCATTTGATCTTAAAATGCGAACTGTGTCATCTTAATTTATTGAACGAATGCAACTTACAGTTGAATCTTTTCAAATATTTCAAACATTGATTGCTCATATTCGTCGATGAGTTTCTAAGTTAAAAAAGCTACTCACTTTAAATTAAATAATGACAACTTAATTAATATGGTTAATCGAATTTCAATTCCATTATAAAAGTTGGTTGATTTATTAATAATTATAATCAAATATTGCAAAAAATAGCAGTTAAAAGCAGCATTTCCCAATTTTACAAAAATTGCCCCTTAAAAACTCAAGAACTTTTCATAGGAAATGCAAAACCGAAGATATTTCTGCTCATTTCCATTTTAAAATGATTATTGAAAGGTTTTAAGTAGAAATTAATTAATCTCTTGAGGTTATTGATGCTTTAACAATCAAGATTCCAAATAGTCAATCTATAGATGAAATCCCAGTCGATGTAGTTGGCTCAATATAAGCAAACATGGATAATTTTTCTTAGAGAATCATTAGAGCTTGGATTGACATGGGACAAAGAGACGGAGTTGTTGAAGTGGCTCTGCAGTGATACTATTCAAAAAATTCAATGCCACATGAAACCCAAAGAACAAAATTTATTTATATCAAATGGCAGGCATTTTTGTAGTTATCGTCAGCTCTTTAGTTGACTTCAGGCTTCACAGATGAGAAGGAACATCAAAGTGAAAAAGGTGGGGGGCGGACAGAAGAGTGTTTCAAAGATGTAAAAGAGACGGGCACAAAGGTAGAAAAAAGGTGAGGTGAGTACTGTGATAGTAGTCGAAATTTACATACAGTGGGGTGATGGTAGTTTGTAGTCAGAAGTCAACTGGCAGTTAATAGACTTTTTTGCCGTATGAATATACGTTGCCCAGGGTGCACCACGTGGAGGTAAGTCTATCGCACACTCCCAAAAGAAAAAAATACATTTATATGTTAGGGAGGTGGTCCCACAAACCACTGACTTTAATAAATTTACAAAAGAATAAGAGGAAATATGGCATATAATGAAAAACTAAATGAAAAGCTAAATTGATCAAATCTTCCACTTCCAGTAAGCAAAGAACTTCCATTATAAGTAGTGTCATGATTTCAAGGCTTATATCAGCGAGACTGTTTAGCTCAACTCACTATTGATTTGGCCTTTCAACCATAAAGATATCTACTAATCCTGCCAACTACGGGGTGTGCGATAGACTTACCTCCACGTGGTGCTTCCTAGGTAATTCATGCGGCAATGGAGTCTATTAATCGGCAGTTAACTTCTGACTTCAAACTAATATGAACCCACTGCATGTCATATTCGACTACTTCCACAGCACTCATCCTACCTTTTCTCTGCCTTTGTGTCTGTCCGCCTGTCTGTCTCTTTTACATCTGGGAATCATTATTCTGTCCCCCGCCAATCTCCACTTTTTGTCACTTGATGTTCCTTCTCCTCTCCGTCAAGCTCGAAGTCAGCTCATGCGCTAATGATAACTCTCAAAACGTCTGCCATTTTAAATAAATAAATAAATAAATTTTGCCAACTGCACATAATCGGAGGTCTCCCCTTCCTTGACTACTTCACACTTGATTTTCATTTATTTTAATATTCATAAAATAATTTGAATTGCGATATGTCTACTTTTCAAGAATTTTTAACGTTCTGACACTTGTGGTGTAATGCACCTCTGTTCATACAACTTTTTTTATTATTCCACATCGGTAGTTGATCATTTTTAGTGCTTTTCTTAATGAAATTTAATTGCAATAATTTGACTTAATTTGTTTTTTATTTTTGGCAAATATTGAGATTATTAAAATTGTGATTTCATTATTGTGTGGGTCACGTCATCGCACGCCAGGATTGGGAGGTGCGACTGTACAAACAGTGACTAATCATTAACCTCTGTTTGTTTAACCTAATCCGCCATCCTGATCATGATTAAGCTCCCTGCGTGTACATTTTATCCACAATATACTCACTGAATAAACGTGTTCCGTGCTACACGTCTGTTTTCATTATAGCTGGGCTATAGCTTAACTGGTTCTGGGAGTCTAGCTAGATGTTGGAGAATCTGCCATAGAGATTTCTGAGTCAGTCAGGCCTTAATAAAGTAGCAATCCGCTACAATTGTCAGCAGCCAAATTTTCTTAGGGCGTTCCCTTAGTGCCATCACAAATGCGTAATGGCAATTCGTATAGTGAGATGTCAGTAATCTCAACAATCTTTGCCTTGAAACAATGTGTTGGGAAAATTAAAATTTCATTATCCAGAAGAAAATATCAACTTCCAAACATGAATGAGAATGCTATGGAAATTCATTTCGAATACTGATGAAATTATAAACTTCCACTGCTTCACGGGGCTGTCATTATGACGTGGGTGATAATTATTGAGGGAATTTTCCTGCAGACATTTTCCATTTCGTTAAGGCATCAAATAAACTATTTACTTTAACTGGAATCTTCTCATTTACTTTAGGTATTTGACAAGGAGTATTGTTCAACATGCTACTAATTTGATAGACATTTAACCAAGCATTTTTCACATCTTTTCTCCATATTTCCAGCTGAGTTGAAGCAAATGATCATGTAAATTGGCGGGTATTTTGCAGTTAATCAATAGCTCAATTGGAATGGTGAGTTCAAAATGAAAGATGGGCAAGATTACCAAGGAGCGAAAATTGCACGCCTGTAGTTATATTGAGATTTCAATTGAGACAAAGTGAAAACAGGTATAAGAAATTGAATTTATGACTCCAAGAAACTTTAAATTTGACCCAATATGAAATAGGTGAAATATTTCCACTCGAAATGAAATAGCCAGGAAGACGCCTTTCTACTTACCAGACGATGGAGAACATAGCTCTTCTTCTTTGTCAGTGCTTTCATTCACACGTCACATGGAAAGCTCACCTCATGAAACTCCAACTCCAACCAACTGGTTGCTCTCAATCGCCATTGGCTCAAGTGGGGGGTATTTATTGGCACGATTGAATGGTCTCAATTATTACCGAAAATGTCACCTTTACTCCTTACATGGCTTCTCTTCCTTCGTTCTGCGGGTAATGTTGTATTACCTACGAAACGATTTCGTATTAAAAATATCGTTTTTTATATTTTTTTATAACTTTTAAGACCAACTCGCCTTATAATAGTTTAATATATCTAAAATCAGTTCATTCAATTTATAGTGGCCCAACAACCAGAACGTAAGCTCATTATAAATGCATAGAACTTATGTTCAATTGACATTTTACAAAGTTAACATTTAAATGGACATGAAGAACGAATATCTTGAAACTGACTTAATTTTCATTTTAAATTGTTTTCCAAATGTTCATAATTCATACACAATTTTACCTGGTATATTTCAGCTCCTGAGCCTACAGGTATCGTCCAATTATAATCCACTTGATTTACTCTTTGCAAAGTGAATTTTATTGCCAAATTTAATGAGTGTGTTTATTGGAAAAGGGACTTTTTGGGGATCCCGTGTGGTGGCGAATCCCAATGGCAGAGCCGAGAAAATTGAATTTCCCTTGAAAGGTATGGAAGTAAGTATTACTCGTTAATGTGTTGGATATGCCTTTAAGAAAGAAAATACTTCCATTTGCAAATTTTCAGGAAATTGTTATGGTGGAATCTGGAAATAAAAAGAAGATAGATGTAACGAATGAGAAAGAATGTAAACTTCTTGATGGTCGTCGTATAGGTGCACCATGCGAAATCTCAGAAGGTAATACACGGAATTACTGAGTCGCCGTGTTATTACATTTTATTTCAGACAAAACAGTGGTATCTGTTGATGATGTTACGAGACAATATGCTCTCATTGTTGGTAAAATCAACAAACCTTTTGCAGGAGTTTACTTTGCTCCGATGTGCCAATTTTGGAAACCCCAACAAGGTAGACACTAGCTTTGGATTTAATATCTCAGTAGAATGAGGATCAACTCTAAAATAACTGCTTTACTTACTGTAGATGAACTCGATTATGGTTACTCTTTTCCATTTTTCATACTGGCAAAGAACTCCCAAAATGTTACACTCAGATTTGCAGTTGGTGGTACTACGGGCCAAGAGTATGTAAGTGCTGTCTGATGAATAATTTTATAAGCAAGACCGTTGTTTGCTTATACCCTATAACTAACTTAAGATTGTCAATGTCGATCTAGATGACCCTTTATCGGAATCATATATCCATGGGTGAATGGAGAGGGACTGATCCAGAAGAAGATTCTCAAATAAAAAGTAATCAATGGATCAATTATGTAAATATAAATTTAATTATCCCTAATAGCGTGTTTAACATGCCCTCATTTTAGCGCCATTGAAAGTAGACACAGATCATAATCGAAGAACGATCGAGATCACAATTAAAAAGGAAAATTTGGCAAAAGAATCTTTTTACTGGTATAGTGATAAGGGTGCCTTGGTAGTCAATGTTGACTGGGATCAGGAAGGTATATCATTAAATTAAATTCCGAAATATTAAAAATAACCTAGATATGAATGAGCTATCATTTTATCCTTACAGGAGAGTCTCCAGATTACGTAACCTGCAGAAGTATGTTCCACTAATATGACATAATTAATGAGAAATTAAGTGTAAATTTAATCATTTTCATTTTCATTTAGAATGGAGCATTCCAACTACAAGTAAACTTAAAATTTGTTTGAAATTGCTACTTCTAATTTTATTTCAGTAATAATATGAGAAGTAATTTCCTAACTTTAGGCAACTCAGGTGGTAAGTAATATTGTGGACCTTCAAGAATTTCGTTAAAAGAATAGTATTCACCAAAATTGTCTTCTGGAATGATCATCAATTTTGATTATTTTAGCTTCAAGATTGGAAATTGGATTGATGCGTAAGTTCGTAATACACGAAAATGTGAATGAAAATGACCTCTTTTCCTGTTCCCTTCTAGTATTGTCCGCGTCTGTCATCTGGCGATTATTGCCGAAATTCGGTTGATATAATTCCAAGACCATCCAGTTAAGCAAGTTGGTCTTCGGAAATTCACAGAGCATACAATGAACATTTAATAAACTGAATTAAATTTACTCAATTTTAAATATTAGAACTAATTTTTGCACAAATTCATGTTTATTATATTGTATTCGTTAAAGGTAACCGTTTATGCAAATTCATAAATGAATCGATTATTGAAATAATCTCCACGCTCAAATTGACTTCAACATTTGCATTTTAGTTGATCTTTAATTGCTTCAAATCAGCTAGCTGGAGTTTGGAATGAAGGTGCTACTAGAACTCAGTAGCCTGAAGTGTTCGTGTTGATCAGTCCAGAGAATAAATAGAGGAAGCAAGAAAAGCATTGAACTCTCACCTGGGTTTAGACTGTCATACTGTCTTCCTCAAATTTTTCTATGGCTATTTTATTTGGAAGAATTCGAAAAAAATTATTCCCCAGAAAACACCCATTACTTTTCTTAAACTTTTCTAAATCTTGAATAGAATCAGCTAACTATATAATTAAATTTCTATTATACCCAAAAGTTCATTTTCCGGGCGAAGAGAATAAGTCTCTGACGCGACTTACAACTAACAGGACGAATTTTAATTTTTCCTGCAATTGAGTACACTGTAAGCGAAAACACGTAAATCCGCGTGATGGGTGTAAAAATTTAGAGAAGGGCGTTTTTTTCTATTATTAGTGGATACCTGAAATTATGATTTATTCTCCTGGTGCAACGTATACACATATGGCAAAAAAGTCTATTAACCGGCAGTTGACTTCTCACTTCAAATTACCATCATCTCACTATATGTCATATTCGACTACTTCTACAGTACTCACCTCACCTTTTTTCTACCATTGTGTCTGCCTGTCTCTTTTACATCTGAGAACCACTCTTCTGTTTCCCCTCCCCTCTCGACTTTTTTCAATTTGATGTACCTTTCCCTCTGTGAAGCCTGAAGTCAACTAAAGGGCTAATGATAACCATCAAGACGCCTGCCATTTGATATAATAATAATGATTTAATCTCCTATAATAACCTACAACATCCCCTTGAAAATAAGCAAGTGCATATTCTTTAAGTGTGGTATACGCGAGCACAACTTAATAGGATTATCGTTGAGTTCATTCACAAAATCTACGTGAAATTTGCACTTACTTCGTCATGCGCATCTGAGAATTTAATGTATGTACCGCAATTACCATTTGGATATGAATACTTAAATCTGCCAATAGCGCAATAATCGAGTATATTGTAAAGTGAAATATAATAAATTCTAAATAAAAATGACATTTTATATTATGTATTGACGTATAATTGTATAATTTCAAAATTCCCCGGTTTCGAGGAGAAGTAACTTCAAGGTTGTCAAAAGGATCTCAGCCAGACAGGATATTAGTGAAGGCATGGGCATTTCTTCAATCACGTAGATATTAACACTATTTGTGCATGTGCAGTTCTCTAAGCCACGGAGCGTTCAATATTCATTTTGGGCAGAGGTATTTACATTCGGTGTGTTCTGACGATCTAGGAAGACGCCCAGATAACTATGAACCAATTTATGCCTTTGGACTTTGACAGGAACTGCTTCTACTTGGTGGATTTGAAAATATGTTGCGAGAATTTTGTCGAGGACTCATTTGCGTATCATTGACCACAGATTTTATTTGTTATCGAAACATCGCTTAATGGTTATCGAATAAATATAATGAAGTTTATAAACCGATTTGACCAAAAATTGCATTTATTTCGCAGATTTTAATTTTAACCATTTCAGTAATTCAAGTAAGTGAGAGCTGATTAATTACAATTCAAATATTGATAAACGATCACAACGCAAAAAAAATATATCATTGTATAAGAATTGAGAAGGTAAAAAATTGGATTATTGCACCAGCAAACTAAGGTATGAAAAATCCTAGAATAACATAAATAAATGTTTAATTAAGTTAGAATAGGTAAATACCTCGATTAGATTTGTTATATAACTTGGTTACAAATTTAAACATATAAAAATCACAAATTCGTTACACACAAATACATTTACATATATAAAAATATATATAATAATTTTAAACAAATTAATAATGAGACTTCTTTAAGAAGAAAATAGATTATATTCGTTCTGTAAATTTTTGTTGCCCTATTTCAAGGCTAAATAAAGGTCTGCGGCACTTTGCCTACCCAAAGCGCGATATTTAACTATCTATTTTTCATTTTTTTAAACCATGACCGGGAAACCCCATAACAATACGAATCCTCGCAAATTTAAGGAAAAAATAGAGCTTCTTCGTCAGAAGGAAGCACAATTAACGGCCAATTTCATGGAGGTTATGCGTGGAATTCCTACTCTTACTCGCGTAAGCTGTACACGGGATTTTCGTAATCACCTTTACTTCCAGAACGTGGTCACTTATTCAGATTTAGCTAATAAAGATTTATCTCCCACTGGCAATATGTCACCATCTCCGAGAATATCTCTAGACGCCGCTAAACCCGCTGGTGGTTACACTCGTGGTATGGATAAGTCAGACAGTTATCAGTACGCTCTTGAAGCAGCCAGCGGCACGGTAATCACTCCTTTCTTTATTATGTGTTCATATTTTCTTAGAATTTCCATAATTTTCAAAATGAAAACTGGATTAGTTAAATTCCATTTTTCTATTCCGTTGTATATTGCCACGCTATTATCTTTATTTCCCGCCCCTTTTGCACTCAGTAGTAGCCACGGTAGTACTTGTCTTATTTAGTAGTTTAGCTTTGCCTTATATATAGGAATGTCGCAATGCCTCCAATAAAAGACGTCTCTCATCGGCCAAGATTATTTGTTGAGAGGCAGATATTAGAGAGACTACGCGCCTGGTTACACTCGCACCATGTACACACACCTCGTATTGTACCTGTCTGTTCTTGTGTGTGTGCACTGATATTCGTGGCGCACATATGTTTTGGTGTAGGCTGCGTGCCACCACCAACGCAATTACAATTCGATAGTGGGTTCTCTCACGTGGTCTTACTCGGTCTCACTTGATCTGGCACTCACTCTATTGTGATAATGGCGGTGATGCCTTTTGTTATTATTGCTATTGTTCCAAGTCCCTTCTGTTCAATCGTATTGATTTTATTTGAAGTTTAATCCATTATGTTTCCACCTTTGGCAATATAATTAAGTTCTATGTAGAGGAAACAAGATCCCAGCTCTAGTAGTTGTAATTGGCCAATTAGTAGCTTGCTCAGTGATTTGACTTGTTAGGTAACTATTTTTAACAGTATGAAGGTGGCTTTTATGGATTAGTAAAGATAGGAGTTGAAAAGTGTGCGACTTCAGTTGGTACTGAACATTAGAGGCTAGAAGATTTTTGTCTTTGGTTTAAATCAGTTTACTAACTCTTCAATTCTTCTTCGTTTTTATTTATCTATGATTGTAATTTGATAGAGTGATAGGTTGTGGTCGGTAGTTGAACAGGAAGAGCTCTGGGAGTAGTTAGTTCTTTTTATTTGTATGTGTTTAAATTTATTCTTTTTTTAGATGACATTAATTTTCGATTTCTATTGATCCAAAATAGTTTATGTCGGGCAAATAATTGGAAACGTTCTATGGCGGATAATATGCTTGGCTTACGCCAATGAAGTGTCTTGTGAGAATAGATGTTTCGAACTAGCCCAGTAGATACTTCTATGCGACAAAATTTATAAATGAATTAAAATTTCTTCTTTATATTTTTGGGTTTAATTGTTATAAAATTGCTATACCATTGTATATTAAATGAGGGAAATTTACTTGGGTCTTTAGGTGGCATTGTCTTGAAAATCGGTTGAATTTTATTAATAGAATTAAGCAGCATTTTAGCCCTAACATTTAAGATTTTCCACAAAGATGTGAACTTGATTTCGGCAATACGTTTTATCATTGTGAGGGAATTGTCACAGTATGTAGGTAAACTTCTATAGTAAACTTGGCCTTGAACCTTAATTCATCAAAACGTCAACAGTACATATGTATCAAGAGAAATATGGAAATTTGTAGTGTCAGTAAGTTGTTAAGGGATTCCACCGATTATTATTATCAGTTATTGGAGAAGCCCTGAGTTTATTGTTTGCGCCCTATATCAATTTTAATGATTCCGCACAAATAATATTTTGATTTGTATTGATTTCGAGGGAGTATATTATTTTTCAAGTTTTTGGAAGCTAGTTATCAACTCGGTTTTAGGAAAATGCGTTTTTTCTGGTATTCGGGAAGATTGTATGTTTCTGCATATAAGGGAAAGCTAAGTTCCTATGATTTGAGAGAAATCTTGACTAACTATCGGCTTAACTGGCGACTCTGTGAGACTCAAAGAAGTGGGTTAAATCGTTACTCTTTGTGTTCTTTTTTACCAGTGTATGAGTATCAATTTCTGTAATGCATTCTCTACTCCTGTACGAATTTCACCAAGATATATATATGTCTCGGAAGAATTCCCAGGTACGGTACGAGGCGATATTTTCTTTGTTAGACTTTTCCCAAGAGATTTCCCAGCACACTCCTCCGAATAGGCTCTTTTGATACCATAGTCCCGCAGGAGGGCTATTCTTCAATTATCAATTTTTTGTTTTATTGCCCACCCTTCAAGTTTATTATGGAAAAACCGCAGTAAAATAATGCCCTAGTAAACTTCTCAATTCCCTTTACTTTGACTTAAAGCTGGACCATAAATTCTTGAAATTTTAAAATAATTTCTTGTTGTTCGAGGCCTGTTTTTCACTCAATTCGTTTCATTCAGTAGAATTGAATGACTACAAATTTGTTTCTACTAAAGTAGGACTTAATTCTAAATGACTTCAGCAATAAATTCGATAAGTGTTCTTGGGAGTATTGATTTCCCGTGAACAGCTTTAGTGCAACTGTCGTGAAGTTAAACTAAGAAAGGTAGTCTATAGCTTTAGCAATCATTTTAGTCGGGATATGTCTAAAAATAAGATCAAATCAATCGTTCCTTTGCCAATTTTGTACGATTTCAACATTTAATTTGTCTTAATCAATTCAAGCTTTAAGTAGTGTGTGTATTTTTCATTCTAATTTATATAGCACCATAATTATTGTCACGTTTCCAAGGCATGAAAAATTGTTGAAATTTGTACTGTCTAGTCTGGAGCTCTTTCTCACTCACATGGAATTTTAAGGTCGAAGTGGGTTTTTATACTACTCTCTTGCTGCCTACTTATTACCAATTTTCAGTAATATATTAAATTGCCTACCATCACGCTTTCTTTATGAAATTGAATGAAAATCGATTGCAAAGTTGCTTCACCTTCCTAACACTTAATTGCATTCAGCCTTTGTTGAGATGACTCTTATCGATCTTTGGTTTCCTAAAACAGCTGTCTTTTAATATGGCCTTGAAGTTTCATTAAAATAGATATCTGAACTTTTTTTTATACTTGAATGCAATAAATTCAACGGTCTAAATATGGGTAACTCTTGTCAATCTTGAGGTAAGTATACTCATTAATAAAAATTGAGTTCACAAGAAATGTAGTGAAATCATTGAAGTCGACTATAAAATCGCTCAATTTAAAGTCGACATTTTTGCAAATGTTATTCGTTTCCCTTTGTCGATTGATCCTGGATTAGTTGGTTTGGTTTTTTTTTGTTGAAGGTTTCTCCTATCATTCAATCGTGCACTTGGGAATATGTTCATCGTTAGTTCCTAATATACTAACTGAAATTCCTAATTTTTTTCTTATTTGCTTCGACAACTTCTTATTATAGTTTTTAAAAGGTTGTGCCGCCTAGTCTACTCGACGATTTGAGACTCTTGAATTTTACCTACCTTTTTAAGTTGTTTCATATTTGATTGCATTTTCGTTTGTTTTTTTTTGGTTCAATTTGAGAGGAATGCTACAAATAGTCTTATTAAAATACTGCCGCCATTTTCATTTTTTATCATCAACTTTTTTTTTTCAAAAATCATTTGATAATTAGTCTAGAGGGGGGGGGGAGGTTGTATAGCCATGTTTCTTCCAGTTTAAACACTTGAGTCGTATGTAGGTCTTTGATTTTTTGGAGGGGGGTGAGGAGTATTGTAGATAAGACAGAGCCAGTATTATCATTGGTTATTGAAGCAGTTTTACTCCTGTGTTTATTTTCCTTTTACGCTAAATCACATGACGCTAAGGGCATTTGACGGAATATTGGAACTAATTCTCTCGGCAATACGCAAAAACGGCAAAAAGTCTGAGTGCTATTACTCGAATTTTATTAGGGCCTTTGCTAATGTATTCAACCCCCCCCCCNCCACCCCACCCCCCTCCTCCCTCCCCCCACTATCACCACCGCCTTAACTATCATTAATGTCTTTGTTATTGAACCAGCCTACTTCATTATCATCATTAAATTGCAATTTTAGTCAAAATTGATAGGTACCTCTAGTTGCAAACAGATTTAAGTAATCTCAGAGTTATTAGTAGGCTTTCATGAATTGTTATGGTTGTAAAAGTGTTGACATAGAGGTGGGTTTAATATTTAGGGTCTAATTTTTCTGTGTAAGGGCTTATGGTAATTGTATCGATTAATCGCTCACAATGCTAAAGGTCTTAGAATTAATTTTGTGCTCCAAATAGAATTATTAACTCAGTAATAAAAATTCGACATTTCGGGCTATGTAATTTGTCTTTTCTTCTCTTCCCCTTAGACAAATCGAAGTCACTATGGCAACAGTGGGGGTCTTGATTCTGGTGGAGGGGGTGAAAGAGTGTCGATATCAAACCAAATTTCCGGGACGGATGAATCAACGGCAGATACACACACTCAGGGAAGAAATCGAGAGACTTCAAAGGCCAGGAATTGGAGTCGAAATCAATCCAGTGCAGATTCGGGCGATTCTGGGTGTGTAGTAATAATCTCTTGCTTATCAAAGAAAAAAAACAACTACTCCTTTTTTCAAGGCCCTTATTCTCGTGATCTAAGATAAATGGGCTTTAATTGCAAGTGTGATTTAAGTTTTCTTCAATGCATCCTCTTGTGGCAAAGATTTTTTTGCCTAATAGCTAGAAATTAAAGCGACACTTAAATAGAAGGAGGGCTTGATCGTCTACAGATGAGAGTTTGGCACAACATCATTCAGGAGCCCTAGGAAGTGGGGCATTGAATCATGCTCATTAATCAAAAGCTGAACAACTTAAAGAGTCCGAAATTTCTCCTTTATTCACCAATTTCAATGGACCCTCCACTTTTTCATCTCTCCTTGAACAAGCATACTGCTTACTTGCGTATAATTTTTCGCTTTTAATTCCTTGCCTTAGTAGACAGACAACTTAGGGAGGGGGAAGGGCTTACTCATTCTGTCCCCTTAAAAGAACCTTGATCTACATTTAATGGAATTCTTTATGCGATTTTAATATCGGATCGAAGTGTTAGGATGAGCAACAGGCACTTAGCTAAATGGCTCCTTACTCATATCTGTGGAAATAGTTCCGTTGCTGCAGCCAATCCAACCCGTTTACTCGAAACTATGTATAATCCGTGGTACTCTCTTAATGATGAAGCAGCTGTTCGACCTTCTTCCTACAGCAGTCTTTCTTGAATAGGTACCTGTTCGAGCAAGTTTCTGTTTCGCTGAACTCAAGTGAAAACGCATCGAGTAATCGTCCCTATTATTGGTTGAACGTGCTGTCGAAAAGGAGACATTGGGTTTCTTTGTCTAACTATGAGTCATATTTGTAGGTGTAAATTAAAGTACAGTGACGGCATATTTTACCTAAAAGCCCTCAACTCTAAAATCATGCCAACAACGATTAAATTCGTCAATTGTAAAAATTCAGTTGTTGACTCTGCAAAAATATGGACAGGACAAGGTGCCACAGTAGACTGGTAGGGGGGGGGGGGGGGGGGTGGGAGGAGGTTGTCTGAATGTAAAATTGTGTTCCCTATGTCTTGTTGAGTAGACGTTTTCTTTATGACCTAATCTTTGAACAGCATACGCAAGTCATGTCAATTACGGAGATTGGCACAGATATAATAACTTACACCGCAAAAATGGAGAACCCAAGCTAGTTTCCAAAAAATTACACAGGCAACTGTCCCAAAAATTGGAACAGGAGGACTCATATGAACCTAAATGCGTTGAATGAACCTCGATTGAGAATCGAGCGAGTGGTAGAAATGAGAAAATATGCAAGCAGATAAACGAAAAGTTTATTTATATCAAATGGCGGGTGTTTTGATAATTATCATTAGCCCTTTAGTTGACTTCAGGCCTCACAGAGGGGAAGGAATATCAATGTGAAAAAAGGTGAAGAGTGGGGGGGGGTACAGAAGAGTGTTTCAAAGATGTAAAGAGACAGATACGCACAAATGCAGAGAAAAGGTAAGATGATCACTGTTAAAGTGGTGCAATGGTAGTTTGAAGTGAGAAGTCAACTGCTGGTTAATAGACTTTTTTGCCGTATAAGTATACGTTGCCCAGGGTGCACCACGTGGAGGTAAGTCTATCGTACACCCCCCGATAAATGAAAAGTGGAGTGTGCTAAAGCTATCTATTTATTTAGTCAATAAATACTATCAGCACAATGGTACGTCACATAAGATTGATAACCGATTGATTGGGAGACGTCGAAACGGGCGTTTGCACTTTCCCGAATATTCTTGTTCACGAGGGAGAGTCCTTCGATCAGCCTTGGTAGCGTTGTATGCTCTCTACAGGTTTGTTGTTTCATCAAGTAAAGGGTGGAACCATATGGGATTTCGTCTTTAGGTAAGTAATTATTTGCTTCAGTTTGTCCAGTTGTCATTGGTAGCAATTAAGGAATGGTTAAAAAAGTTGAATAAAAATTTAGGTCGCTTTCGAGTCTTGACGAATGGATGATTAATAATGAATGAGGAGTGCACGACTTTGTAGGAAGTGTAGTGGCTAAATCTATCTAACAATTTTCATATTAATTTTCGTTCCAGCCTCGTATCTCAAATCTCCCCTCTACGAGGTCCACAGAATTCATTATCCCCATCTGTCTCCTATCAGCCCAATCTTGCCTCCATCTCCGTTTCTCCTCATTCCCCCTCTCCATCCTCCCTTCCTCCCACGTCTTCTTCCAGCCTTCCTGTTCCACCGACTGCATCTCAATTTTATCCCTCTGCTGAACCCTCTCCATCCACCAATCAACGCCAGCAGTTCCATCCGCCTGCAGCGCCTCCCCCCGTTCAACCTACACATTCTGCCAATCGCCACACGATTATCGCTGATTACGGATGGGGTGATAGTGGCAATCCTGTAGATGGGGAATCTGGTGCTATCCCAAGTGGTATGAGTCTAATGGACTACCGAAGAACTTACTCAGATTCCTGCATTCCTAGTTCCTTTGCTGAACCCAATCGTCGGTTTCAACAGCAAAGTGGCGTTCTGCAGTATCACCAACAGCTCGTTCAAAATCAAGGTCCACCGTATCCTCCACCTCCCCTACAACCTCAGCCTGTCCAAACTCTTCCCCCGGTTAATGAATTCACCTTTTCGCGATATCAAAATACGAACAACCCCGCTGGAACCTCAGCAATTAGTTCTAACGCAGCGTCAATTACAGTTGGTGGGTCATACTTTAATGGAACGGGGTCTTCTTTATCTCCGCGGTGCAGGCACCAATCATCCATAACCGTCTCCCACCAACATCAACAGAACCCTTCCTGGAGAAAGCTACAGCCGGATTATCATAGTATGCGTAATATACCTCAGAGATATGCCCCACTGCATCATCATCATCATAACCACCATCATCAAATGATGCCAATAACTCCACAACAACAGTCACATCAGCAACAACAACAATTGTCAACATCAGAAGCTATGTCGATGGAAGGGTATGAGAGTTATGGAAGTGGTCAGAATGGCGTCTGGGGAGTGAATGGAAATGGAAATGGATATTCTGCCTCAGTGCGTGATTTACCATCGTCTATGAATACTTCTCGGCTAAGGAGGTAAGTGGTGTCTGAGAAGTAGTGGTTTCTAAATCTGAGATGGTGATGCTTTTGCACTCTATCCATGTTCGAAAATCGCATTTCTTTCTGACAAACACGACAAGGCTGTAGTTGGCATGGAACCAGAGAGAGAGAGAGAGACCAAGAGTTTAGACCGAAATGCAGTTACTTCAGGTCACTTAGTTGACAATGCAGGTTGACTCCACATGGTTGATGTTTGGAAATTCCAACAGCACAGGAGAAAATTACTTGCTCTAATTGAGAATAGGCAGCAATTTTGTGTTTGTTTTCAGCCTTTTGTAGGCATTTTCACTCATTCGATTAGGACTAGAGGGTGTGTGTGTATGTGTGTAGATGTCGAGTTCTATGTAAAAAGTGCCAGGGGAAGCATTTTTAATGACTTGGAAATGAAAAAAAATCACGTTCGTCTTTCATCTGAATTTTGAGCGGAGGTTCTATAATGTTCACTTAATGTCCTGTCCGTATTCTAAAATTGTCCCTTGTTATATTACAGGAAGTGGTGATCCACGATGCTCACGACTTATTGACCAGTGTTTATCGGTCTTACCTTTCCCTCAGTTTTTCGGGTTTTGCATGCCAAAATTTAAGTTAACAGAGCAGATCAACTTCAAGGTCATAAGTATGTTTCCCTTCTCCATCAAATCGGAACCTACAAGGGTGATTGGATTGTGAATTTGGTGAAACCACCGGCTTTCGAAAGTCGCTAGCTCTATTATTGGCAAATCTACACTCCACAGGAGTGATATCGAGCCTGTATTTTTTTCCTATTCGAGTTTGTAGGCTTGGTGTCTGCCCGTCTATGCAGTTGCAGTCACTGCGAAGTGAATCCAATGTTTGGCCTTTGTCATCCCCTGTCTCTGCTTTCATAATTTCTGAAAATGAAACCGCGTCAGACATCTAGCCAAAACATTTTCCCCTGTCCGTGTGTGTGGACACCGCTAGTCTCTTAGTACACTGTGGCAAAGATGAAAGCATTTCTGTGTCAAATGACGTTCCGCGACTATCTTGTGTTACCTAGGTAAAGTGTTGCCTTGTTACCACCTCCTAGTGTGTACGTTTGTGGATAATAGTTCTGCAGAATGCAATTTTTAATAATAAAAAGAAACTGTTGCTTATTGTCAGAACTTATTTTGACTGTAAATCGCGTGTGTAACATTTGATGGAAATTCCACCAAAAAGTACATACAGACAGCTGCTTCTGCTAAAAATGTTGTCCCGAAAATGATTGCTAAATTTAGGGCTATAAGTTCAGCTGCCTACGTCAGGCGCAAAGGCTTTGTTCACCAGGAAATAGTCAATGTGTTCACGAGGCACTCTGCCAAGAGGTCCACGGAAATCAATCAACTGTCTATTCTCCCCCGGCTAATCATCAAGTGAACGCCATGTTGGAACATGTTGAAGGAGTTGTGTGTGTGTGTGTGTGTGTGTGAGCGAGGTAATGCATACATTACGACCTACAAATTGCACAATGTGACGAGAAAGAGTTGAAAGCGAACATTCGCCGCAATACGATTGCGCAAGTTTCCCAAAACATGTCGAGACGTGCAAAGTTGTGTATCGAGATTTTCGTTGAACACTTTTAAGTCACCTTCTATTCCTAACCTACCTCTCTCCGTATTCTCAGGGGCCCTATTTTTGTACGTATCTTGACCACTTAGTATAACTAGGTCGTCCTTTGAGATCCCCATTTTCTGTAATAATTCCCTCGCCTCACGGTTGATCTAATGAACTAGTGAATCTAGAATATACTAATAGCTACGCAAAGGATTATACACAAGTCCAATCCAACTGCACTCCACTTTGATAAATATCCTATTTTAACTAAGTTTAGATCTCCTGTTTTAATGGATTTGTGGTTAGTGTACATTGATTCCACCTTACGCGAGATGCAGTGAATAGGTCTATGTCCGTTGTGTCGCAGCTTATCTACTCTAATTAACTCGACCACAAAGTATATCAATCGGTCTACGAGTCTTGAACAAGGTGGACAACATCTTGTGAACTAGAGGACTAAACATTACGACGGGATATACCATTTTGAAAATATGGCCAATTCAATGCACCTAATTTCCATAAAGTAAAGTTTGGAGGAGGAGGAGCAAGTGGAGACGTTGATGCTTCTCCACGCCTTCCAAAAATGTTCTCTGAACGATTGGTTTCAGTAATGGTTCTATTCTTGGATTTGCCTAAAGCGATATCTGTCAAAATGTCATTCTCGGTTCGGGGTTATTTAGTAACCTACTGGGTTGCCGAAATCGAGTATTCTCCTGTTAACTCATTTGTCCTCAATGTCAAGGTCTTAGCATCTGGACACTTTGAAACCCCTGGAATAGAATTTCAGCTTACTATAATTTCAACATCGGTTAATATTTTTTTGGTTAAACCCGTATTTCAAACTCTCAATTTGAAAATCTAATACTTATATTAAATGGCGGGCGTTTTGATAGTTATCATTAGCCCTTTAGTTGACTTTAGGCTTCACAGAGAGGAAGGAACATCAAAGTGAGCAAAAGTCGAGAGGGGGGGGGGGGAACAGAAGAGTGTCTCAAAAATGTAAAAGAGGCAGACACAAAGGTAGAAAAAAGATGAGGTGAGTTCTGTGAAAATGATCGGATATGATATGGAGTCAGGTCATGGTAGTTTGAAGTCAGAAGTCGACTGCCGGTTTATAGACCTTTTTTGGGGCCTGAGTATACGTTGCTTAGGGTGCACCACGTGGAGGTATCTCTATCGCACACCCCATATCTTATACTTATTATACGTAAATATTTTGAATGACAACTCTATAAAGTATGATGAGGTACTCATTCGGAGGTATGACATACACAACAACGCTACTTTTCGCTCGGTTTAAATTGTTTCTGTATTTTCCTAGCATTGAGTAGTGCTTCATGCTAATCCATGTAATAAGAATCCACTGTGTACTTTGGCGAGTTTGCATCGTCTGGACATATTCTCGTATTCAATTGAAAAAGGGCTTTCATTTTTATCACTACATAAACGTTTAGTATCGATCGTTAGTACACGTATCCTTAGGTGTCAAAGTATCTCAAATCTTCATTGTCAGATCGAATTGGGCCTGCGAATTCTCTATATTCAACATGATAGCACTACTTTTCACGAACAGACGTAGTGGAACTTGGAAGGAAGAGAGGAGTGGCAGGTGGTACTAGGAATAATTGGAGGGGAGCGTAAAGAATATATATTATCAGGATAATTAAGGAACAGTTATGTACGCTCTTATTAATGGTGCTATTAATTTCGAATTGTGCTCACTTACAAATGTGGTCCAATCCTAAATTGTAGCATGGCTGAATTTTTTATTATATCGCTAAAGTTTGAGCAATTCGAGTACTATTAGTGAATGAGCGAAGGTGGTGGTTATTTTTGGAGGTACTGTCTCAATTCCTTGCAATAAACTTTCCAAATTTGGAGAATGTCCGTTCACAGAGCAGCGGCGACTGTAATCATCACTGACTTTCATTTCGTTTCACCCTCGTTACGGCCACTAAGTAGAGCATCTCGTTTTGCACTCCATAACGTAAATAAGCTGCTGAATGAATCACCTCTAACACGAAATGACCGCGTCTGTATTTTGATGTCTAGACATGTCCCTTTTCCACCCACCCCATCGCCTCCCTCACTTACATGGAGCTGTGCAGCTGTTTCAAAAACAATTGTGACGCGTTCTTTGTTTTATTTCTGTAGCCATATGTGGATGGGCGGTGTCGTCTTAGCCTTAGAAGGTGGGGGGGGGGGGGGGGGGAGTTAAAATGACTTATTGTGGGTAAACCCTGGATTCTGGCTGCCGCTATCGAACATGAAAACTCATTCCAATCTTCGAGTTTAAATTGAATTAAATATCCATTCGGCGAGCTTGTTGTTTTGATCTTCTCAAAATGCCCACTCTAAACGCACCATTAAAGAGCAGAGGTAATTAACAACCTTTGACGAATCGAGAACTGCCGCTCCAACCCCAAGGTTACTGGTTATTTTAGTGTTGTTCCCGGCCGGGTTTCAACTAAGAGGTTTTTTTTAAATGAACTTTTGAAATTTATTTTGAGCCACACCGTGCAAGGTCGCGTCGGAAAAGGTGGCTTGCCTAATTACAATCTTGATTGTTGTGCTTACTCCTATTGTCAGAATGCCTTTGCTTATAAGCGCGTGAATTTTCATTCACTGTTGTTTTTTTACTAAGTGTTTTTTTGTTTATATTTAGGTCAGAAGTCTACAATCAATTTCGCTCCAAACAACAACCTCAAGGCCAACCATTGCAGCCTCTCCCACAGGTAACATTGAAACATCAACCTCCAGGTTATTATTTCAACCGTGGTAATGGTAGTAAGTGAAATCAGTTATAGAATTGGAGAAGTAATAACGCATTATCACAACCTAACATTGTAAGGGGCGACATTGAACGAAATAATGCGCTACGTTTTGCCGGGAATTAACCAATGGTTGCGCGCGCAGACGACCTTGAGCAAAGCTGCTGAAGGCGACAACGACAGCGTATGCTATGGCGCTTTCGTCTGTTTGTCTTTACTGCCTGCCTACCTACCTATTTCGGAGCCCTCATTGGCTAATTTTCTGTGCAATCGTCTTATTATTGGCTTGAAGGTCTCATGATATTATTAGCAGCCGTTTTATTGAAAATGTCAGACTGCAATTAAGATTGCGTTCCAAAAAAGGCTATTTTTTAGTAAATCGCAGTTTTTTTAGGTTTGGCGCGAATTGTCATGTGCCGCATGTAAAATCTTCATGAATTTATTCTTGAAAAAAAATTTGTTTGAATATTCTGGCCATAAAACAGTGTTTACTTGCGTTGAAATCAGTTGGCCTAAAATTTACCCACGGTTTTGAGGTTTTAGTTAATGTATGGCTCCTCTTTTGTTATCTTTCTAGTTGGTCTGAGATGGTTGCGGTTCATTAATAATTTTCATTGTTCAAAATCTTAATCGTATTCTTGTTCCTTTTATTGTCCTA